CCCCCCCCAAACCACCTGGGGACCCCCCCAGTGCCACGGGGACCCCCCCCGTTTTAACTTTGGGGGTCTCCCCTCCTGCAGGCGCTGAACATCACCACCCACGTCCTGAAGAAAGGCGGCACCTTCGTGGCTAAAGTGAGAGGATCCCCCCCAAAATGAGGGGGGGTCCGGAGCCCCCCCGGCCCCAAAAAGGGGGTGCTGAGCCCCGTGGCCCCAAAAAGGGGGTGCTGAGCCCCGTGGCCCCCCCAGATTTTCCGTGGCAAGGACGTGACCCTGCTCTACTCCCAGCTGCGCCTCTTCTTCCCCGACGTCACCTGCGCCAAGCCCCGCAGCAGCCGCAACTCCAGCATCGGTGGGACCCCCCCCAAAAAAACTCCCCGGACCCCCCTGGGCTTCGGGGAGACCCCCCTGAGTTTGGGGACCCCCCCGACCCCCTCTTTTGGCAGAGGCTTTCGTGGTGTGCCGTGGCTACAGCCCCCCCGAGGGCTTCGTGCCCACCATGGAGAACCCCCTGCTGGAGCCCGAGGCGGGTGAGCCCGGGGCTTTGGGGTGTCTGGGGGGATTTGGGGTCCCTGAGGGGGATTTGGGGTCCCTGAGGGGCTTTGGGGTGTCTGGGGGGATTTGGGGTCCCTGAGGGGGATTTGGGGTCCCTGAGGGGCTTTGGGGTGACTGGGGGGATTTGGGGTATTTTGGGGGGATTTGGGGGTCCCTGAGGGGGATTCTTGCAGTCCTTGGGGAGGTTTTGGGGTGTCTGGGGGGATTTTGGGGTGTCTGGGAACATTTGAGGGGTCCCAGGGTGGATCTGGGGGTACCTGATGGGATTTTGGAGTGTCTGGGGACATTTTGGAGGTTCCTGGGGTGATTTTGGGCATTCCTGGGGTGATTTTGGGGTGTCTGGGGGATTTTGGGGGTCCTTGGGGGGATTTTGGGGTGCCCATGGATTCGGGGTCCCCCCGATTTCGGGGTCCCAGGGCTGTCCCTGGCCGCCCTCCCCGGCCCCTCCCGGGCCCTCGTTCCCTTCGTGGCCTGCGGGGACCTGAGCGCCTTCGACCCCGACCGCAGCTACCCCCTGCAGGTACTGGTGTGTACTGGGAGGGACTGGG